CTGGGATCATGACCTGAGCAGAAACCAAGAGTCTGACGCTTAACTGACTGAGCCCCCCAGGCACTCCTCCTAATTTCCTTTTCTATGGGGTCACCTGTTTGTGGTCACTGTCTATGGTGCTCTCAAGTTTCTGCTCAGTTGCATTGTCGACTGTGGTAATATCCTTTTGTAACCATAAGACTGTTTTTATTTCAAAAAATGTCTAGATATTATAATGCTTTACCTTGAGCCACAAATATCTTGGCAACAAATATGAGCTTTAAATATTGCCCATAGGGGCGCCTGGGTGGCTCAGTCGGTTAAGCATTGGACTCTTGATCTCAGCTCACATCTTGATCTCAGGGTCATGGTTTCAAGCCCCACTTTGGGCTGCCTGCTGGGCGTGAAGCCTACTGAAAAAATTTAAAAAATAAAATAAAATAAAATAAAAATAAATATTGCCCACAGTCCTGGATGGTTTCCCAAGAACACTGGAAGTGCCCAGGTATGGGTTGAACAGCCCTTGGTAGAGGTGGATTTGGTCGTATATTGGGCTCTTTCCTGAATCCCCTTAGACATTACTGAAATCTTCACCCCAGACCCAAAGGCTATCATTTTCAAGTCACTACAAGAGTTACAGCTTCCGAAGACATCATTTAAACAAGGATTAGTTTGGGCACTGGAAGAGTTTGGGCACTTTGGAGTTTAGAATCTGATAAGCAGCAGCTAAGCTACTGAACGATAACAGTCTCATGGGCATTAATCTGATGATTTTTAAAACAGGCCGCTGGATTAATTAAAATCATCACTTGAAATCTTTCTGTAAGAGAGCAAGGCCTTCTGAAAACATTGCTCTTGGTTTCTCTATCTCAACGTCGTCAGTACTGAAAAGACACTTAGGAAAAATAAAAGGCAGTTTCATTTAATGGCATTGTACTTAATAGGCCAGGCAGCTTCCCGCTGGGGGTGAACACCCGCTGCTCTCCTGCACAGCTAAATTGAAGGAAGAAGCCCCAGGGAGGAAGAAGTATGCTGCCTGCCGGTGGCAGTTAGGAGGCTGTAAGCTGCAGAGACATTCCAGTGTTCTAATAACGAAATATACTGACGTGTCAGTTTCATCCTCAAGAACTAGGGGTACAAGGGAAAGAGGGAAGAGAGCAGGGGCTTTCAGCCCTGCTGTGGAATACTGAGTCGGTCCTGGCAGAGCCTGCCCCTCACCGGCTGGATGTAGATTCCTCCCTCCTCCCACCATCCCTAGCCTCTGCCTGCACAGAACTTCACCTTTTCCCAGGCCCCCTAACCTTGATCATCGGGAAGATCCAGGCCAATAAGCCACAGAGTTATCTGAGAGAAAAGTTCCTATATATTCTGCTTCTCGGCAATTGTGACCAATGGCAAAGTCATCACGTTTCTGACTTCTGGGTTCCTGCTGGGATCATGCTCAGGAAAATGTGATCAATACTCCCTCTGTCATCTTTATTGATCAGATATGGCTATGGCTGGCCTGTGAAGAAAGGTGAGCCCTTGCAAAATTGCTTCTCACCGTGGTTCACTCAAGAGTGAGGCAAGAGATCTAGAATATGAGAAAAATATAAAAACCTCTACTGCAACAATAAAACCAAAAAGAGACACACAAAAGACACTGTGCAAACACTCTTTCTCACTATTATTTTGACACCAGCTTGCTTGCCAATTTTCTGAGATTCTAAAATGTAAATAGATAGTCTGGGTCTCTTTTCATTAAATGCTTAATCACTAAGCTCATTTCCATAAATTGGCATGAATTTAGTCTCAGCTTTTTTTTTCCTTAACTTCTTTTTCCTTAATTTTTAGGAGAGTAATCTAAAGTTCCTAAGAGTGATCAAGTCAATGTTTTCTTATGAGACCAGGACAAATAAACAGCCCACAAGATACATTTGGGTGGTTTAAAATTCTGAACCTAGATTATCCAGATCTATCTTTTCTTGTTTCAAAACAACTTTCACAAAGGTGTGATTTGTTTGCTATGTTTTATAATTACTTATAATGACTCATTTTACTCTAATCCGCTTACAGATTTTCTACTTTATTGATATATTCATGTTTTCCCTCTATATATATTTTATTATGGTAAGAATCTGAATTTACAGTGAACTAAGAAGCCATCTGCCTTTAAGAACGCATAACAATAATGAAAGATAGGCCCCAGAATTACCCACCAACATGGACAAGTACAATTTCCTTTACAGCATTTGCAAAGTGCGTCTGTCTTTCTTCAAGGCCTGTTTCTCTATTGTTTGGGACAAATGTGACTTTTACTTGAAAGCCACATTTTAAATTGTTTACAGTGTATTTTGTTAAGTGAAGCAAATTAAATTTCACATACGCCCGTTATATTTCTCATCTGTGACCCTTCATAAGAGCCTTCAAGTAAGAAGGGCTTGTAAACATTCTAAACAACTCAGATTATTAAGGATACTATAAATTTTATGTTAGATGTTTCACTAAACTGACAGAAATTTTCATTTCCAAATATCTGGATAATACGATTTTGGGGGGGAATTCCTTAATTTAAAAGAATGACTTCAAGAATATGACAACAGAGAAGAGAAAAATAAATTGCTTTTATTTCTAAAACCTTCCACACTAACTAGAATATAGGTGCTCAAATCTTTAATAAAGACCCAATAAGAAGAAAGTGGAAGCACATAAAATCAGGAATTCTCTTTAAACATAAGAAAGGAAGACGGGGAGAAACGCAAATTTAAAAAATGAAGTTTCCATGTCAGTGATTAATTTTTCTCATTCATGTGTCAGTCTCTCCCTTTCCTTACAGACAAGGCCCTCTCCATTTCAAAGGCATCGTCCAGAGCTATTTTCTCACCAGGAGACGACTCCTAAACTCTCCAAGAGAAATTGAAAAGACTTTCAAAGGTAAAGGAAGTGAAAGGCACATTCTCCAGCACTTTTAATCACTGTAATTCGGTCATTCCATAGGAGCTTCCGGCCAGCAGTTCTCATCCCTAAAGTTCTGAAAAAACCAATTTGTTAACCTGCCAAACAAAAATATCAGGCGATGAAAAAAAAAAAAAAAAACCTAGAGAGACCAATTTGGGAGAGAAAATTGATAACACTTTGCCAACTCCAAGCAAAACATTTTTAAAAGATGCAACCAAATGCTGAGCGAAGAAAAACGCATGCCCCAGGCGAACGAACGTGTAGAGCAGCGAATCTAAGGAAAAGAATTCCTCCTCAGAGGAGTAACCAGTTAAACTTGCAAAGCCTCCAGCACCATCATATCCAGTGATTTCCCAAGAAATAATTTCAGAATGGAGGGAGGGTGGAAAACTTTCCCAGCCCCCAAGCCCTAAGATGTACAACCATGTCCCACCACTAGGTGGCGGTTGAAAGGCTGTGATCTTGAGAGGGTGGGCTGTTTCCTCCGCGTCTTCCCCTCCTGGACGCACAGCCCAGTCCGGGAGAGAGCCCACTCGTCCCCACCTTGATCCAGTTCGCTAAAATGGCAGGTTACGTAGAAAGAAAGAAGCTTAGAAACCTTAGAAACCTGAAGTCCCCAAGTAACAGCCACTCCTACAAATCTGTTCACACCAAAGCTGAGCAAGGGAGAGGGTACGGACCTGCATATTTTAAACTCTGCTGGGGTTTTCAAAGCAAACCTTCCAAGCGGTTGCTTTAGAGCGACAAGTGACGACGAAATTACGACGTGAACGCTGGGTTAGTTACTAGGCTGTGCATCACCAACCCGCAGAGCGTGTACAGAGCCACAAGGTGATGGAACTAGCTGGCTAAACATGAATCGTTTTATTGCTGGCCAAAAATTCTTCCTTCATTCATCAAAGTGGGTGAATGAAAATATTAAGTAGGTAAGGCGTTTTCGTGGACTGCTCCCTGAGTAGCCCTCTGAAGTCAAGCCCTTACTTAGGCTCCCTTCTACCTTGGGTGTCAAAGCCTCCTCCCATGAAAGGGAAAAACCACTTCCCCTTTTTGTAAAACGGCTGCACGCCAGAGCTCAAATCTTGGCAAAAGAGATGTTACATAAATTCCAGGTGTTCCTAAATATGTATGTTTGCACGGAATCATTTTAGGGAAGCATCTAAGTTTCTGGGCCACTTTTTCTTTTCTTTCTTTCTTTCTTTCTTTCTTTCTCTTTTCATCTCAAGGAAGAGTCAAAATGTGTGTTTACAGCTTTGACTTAGGCTCTTACCCACTTCGTTTAGACGATATTTCCTGCCAGCTAAATGCAGGAAATCTAATAATTTGCACCCAAAACGCACGTAAGCACCCAGCACACTTACCTTTCTTTTCTTAACTGAACCCAGATCAGACAATTCAGTTATCTCTTCCTCCCATCACCAAAGGGAAAAAACCCAACTCTGAAATTCTGAATTATTCTCTAGGTGATTTGTACAGCCATATCTCCCGTAATTCTATGAACGGGCTAATTCCTTAACATCTTACTTTGCCTTTAAAAGGCTTCCTTCCACACGACGGGATTTCCCTAAGAAACATTCCCAGCGGATGGTTTCCAGCAATAGCCTATATCAACTCAGCCTGCGCAAGCAAAGACTTGGCTTCTGCTAATTCCCCCCCCCCCCCCCCACACACACACCCGCCCCAACACACACACCAATTCACACTCACAGAACCATCCCGGGCCGACTCGAAAAGCTATTTTGTTTGCATGTTTGCCCATCTCTTCCTGAATGAATGCTTTTCCAACTGACCTTTCAACAGCTGCCGAGATGGCACGGTCTGTAAGGTTAGAGCCGGAAACTAAGAGAGATTTTAGCATCCTAATCCCTGCAACCTCGACGTTTCTCCTTCTCTACATAAATCCGGATTATCTAAGCCCAAGGGCAGGACCCCTGAAGCGTCTGCAGAGCAGCTCTCCGAGGTGTCCTGCTCGCGACCAACTCACTGCGGGCATCCTGCACACGCACAGCCCCAGCCTACACGCCGCCCGACACCCGCACCCCGGCCCGCGGCGAATACACCAGGCACGCACCCGCCCTGCCTCTTACCTTCCCTGGCTTTCAGCAAGACCGTGTTGGCCACGATGTTTTCCAGCTCCATTGACAGTCGGCAGTCAGCGAGGGAGCCTGCCGGCGGGGCTGTCAGCTGCTGGAGGTGCTGCCGCTGCTGCTGCCGCCGCTCGGGCTGCCGCTGCTGCTGCCGGAGCCGGGAGCCGGGAGCGAGCAGCCCGCCTTGCCTACCGCATTATTCCTGCTCTTATCCCTCGGAGTTTTCCCCCTCTGCAAAGAGGAGCCGCCGCCGCCGCTTCTTCCTCCCTCTGTGTCCCCCCTCCCCCCTCCCTCAACAGTTTCCCCCCCACCCCCCACCCTCCGCGTTTCTCTGTCACTCCATTCTCCACCCCTCCGGCTCCCTCGGATGCTTTAATGCCTCGGATGCTTCTGCCTCCCCTCCGTCCCTCCCGGGGGTGTGGTACTAGCAGGCTCGGGTGGTCGTACTGCGCAGACGCCAGGCGGGCCGCGCCTCCTGCCTCGGCGCTCCTGGCGCGGGGCCTGCTGGGACTTGTAGTCCTGCGGGCGCGCTGCGCGGGAGCTGGAGAGGCGCGCGGGCTGCCCGAGTCGGAAACCTGCCCCGGGACTCGCACCCAGACTGAAGGCGGGAGCGGCCCGCGGAGGCTAGAGGCGCCGGGCTGCGAGGGGCAGCGGGCGAATCAAAGGCGGCCCGGCCGAGCCGGAGCCCCCAGTCTCGGGGCCGGGTTCCCTCTGGCCCGTTTCCCGCCTTGCCGAGAGCTGGGAAAGCGAAATCCACAGGCCACGGCGGCGGCGGGCGAAGCGCCGCGTTCCGGCAGGAGCCGGTGCGGGTCCTGGCCGCCCCTCGGGGCGTGCTTGAGTGGGAGGAAGGTCAGCCCGGCAGGCTGCACACGCTGAGGCGGGCCAGTGTGCGCCGTCTCACACGCACACGCGCCGGGACGCTGACAAAGGTGTACTTTGTTTCCTCCGAGGGCGCGAAGGGGTCTGCGAGGCGGCGGCGACCCGGAGCTGGTGGCCGCGTTGGTGGCCGCGCGGTCCGAGCGCCCTCTCGTGGCCGCGGGGTGGCTGCGCGGTGGCGAGTCCACGCGGACTGCGCCCCCCAGGGCTCGGGACCGCCCCCGCGCGCCTGGCGGGCACTGGGGGGATCTGGGCGTGGGAAGCGGCTCGTTCTGCTAATAAAGTGCCTTCCGGCAAGCGGAGCCCGTAAATTCACGACCCTCATTACAGTCAAACATTCCCATTTATAAGAAGGTTAAACGGAATCGCCCGAGTCGGCTGTGGAGAGCGGTAATGAGTAACCGCGCGGAGCCCGGGTTGGAAATACGTTTTCCCAAATTACGGGTTTATTTATCTTGGGGCTCTGAGCGCCTTTCCGCAGTATGCTCAGAACATGACATTTCAGACCTACTCTCAGCCTCTCTTCCTTGCTTTCTTTGAAGGTCCCACTCCTGGGAAATGGGCCCTCGGTCACCCGTGGTCTTCGAGTCCTACGGCCTGGGGGAGGGGCGGCTGGGCCCAAGAAACAATGAGGCCTTTGCCTCCTCTGCATCCTGCGGGCCGGATATCCGTTCAGAAGCCGGCCCTGGGCCTTCTCCGCCAAAAAGGAGGAAACCTTCTGTCCCCAGGGCTGCCAGGAAGTGGCAGGGAGGTGCTGGGAGAAACGGAGAACAATTACTACGCATGGGAGAATGTACAGAAATTAATAGACTTTCGAAGCCTTGGAAACCAGAATGGTCGCAGATTTTAACAGCACAGAACTGTCTTGTTCATATATGATGCCATGTACTCACCACCACCACCACTTCCTGGTGTGTGGATTTGGGTCAGTGGGTCTCCCTGGGCCTCACTTACCTCATCTGCAGAGTGGGGACAATCACAGTTTGCCCGTCAGAAGGCAGGCAGCTGAGCAGATGACTTTTTAGGAATCTTCCACTCCAGGAATTATTGTCCTAAGCAACCCAGGCTTAGTCTTGGCTCTATATCCACATGCCCAGAGCCCTAACTTATAATGATAGGGTATTTCTCAGAGAGAATCCTAGAGCTGGCAGCATATCAGAGCTCACCAACTACAATGGTCACTTGCCACTTACTGGTAGCCTAAGGCCTGTTGTAGCCCAAAGTTTCTGTGGCTAACATTAAAGCAAAACAAAACTAAAGTTGAATGCCTTTAGATGGTGTGCTCCATAGTAGGCTTCTCAAACTTTTATGTGCATAGAGATCACCTAGGGATCTGGTTAAAATGCAGATTCTGTTTCACTAGGTGGGTCCTGAGATTCTGCTGTTTCTAACAAACACCAAGATTCTGTCAATCCTGCTGGTCAGTGGACCACACGTTGAGTAGGAAAGGTCTATAGTTAGCCATAACCCCCAACCACTCTATCATCTTATACCCAGCCCAAGTCCCCAGTGATTGCCTAATTTTACCTAATTGGCCTCTATAGACATTTGAGTTTTGCAACTCTGGAAAATCCTGCCTGTTCCCCCTCATTTTACAGATCTGAAACAGACCCAGAGAGACTAAGTGGGTTCTGCATGGTCATTCAGCAAGTGAATGCCTATCTACTTTCTCTGCTACATGGTAATACAACCTGCCTACAAAATAAATGGTTGTATTTCAAGTATCTGTACCTCTCTGAGGAAATTAGGACATTCCAAGGGGAGAATGGAATGATAATGGCTAGATTTACTGGATCCAACTGTGGGCCAGGTTCTGTGCTAAGTGCTTTACATGGATTATTTCATCAAACACAACATCCGGATGAGGTAGAGAACATAGCCCTGTTTTATAGATAAAGTCACCAGGTTAGAAGAGGTTTTATAAATTGCCTAAGGTCACACAACGAAGAAGTAGAAGATGTGGGATTTGAACCTAGCAGTCTGACTCAGAGTCTATGCACTTAATTTCTGGCTAGTTCAGGCTAGCCAGCAGAACTTGGCTGCAATTGTCCTGTTTGGCTGCCAGAGTGAACTTAAAGTGTATTGTAAGAAAGCAAAGCAGGCAGTTGGCTAAGTGATTAAGACTTAAGGGGGTTTTTCCATTGCACCATTATAGCTTCCTATAATTCCACCATTATAGCTTCATTCCTTTCAATTAACTGCATTAACAACATCAGTCCTCTAGAGAAATGGGTTTGATTCAAGAAAGAGCAGGCTATTAAATATCAATAGGTAAGTCAGATCTTGCTGGCTGAAGGCAAGAATGCAAATCCAAATGGAACAGTGGGTGAGTTTGAGAGGGATGGAAATATGTCAAATGCTGACTTCCAGATCCACTCGGGATCAGCTGAACGGGAAATGCAAAAGAACCAGGGAGTCTCACTCTTCTGTTGGCACCTGTATTGTGTGGATAAAGCTGCTCGGTCAGAGTTCTTGTAAATAGAAATCAACTATTCAGGAAAGTCACAAACTTATCTTTGTCATAAAATATAGATTGCTTTTGGGGCACCTGGGTGGCTCAGTCGTTAAGTGTCTGCCTTCGGCTCAGGTCATGATCCCAGGGTCCTGGAATGGAGCTCTGCATCGGGCTCCCTGCTGGGCAGAAGCCTGCTTCTCCCTCTCCCGCTCCCCCTGCTTGTTTTCCCTCTCTCGTTGTGTCTCTGTTGAATAAATAAATAAAATCTTTAAAATATATATATGTATAGATGTAGATAGATAGATAGATAGATAGATAGATGATAGATAGATAGATTGCTTTTGCCTGAATAATCAAATTGCCCTTCTGAATAGTACTGGATCTGGAGTTTTCAACCCTTTCCTGGCCACACAGCTTTCTAATCATCAGGAAACCGCTGGAGACAGTGTGCTGATTCTGTTTATTCTTTCCTTCTTCAGAGTTTACCTCTGGGCCAAGCACTGCAGCGAATACAATGGCAATTTCCCGGGAGAACTTGCCACTGGCAAGGAAAGCAAACTAGAAGACAAACTACTGAGATGGAATGAATAAGGACCATTTTGGACACACACAGAAGGACTTTGGAAACAAAGAAGAGTGATTTCAAGCACCTAGAAGATTCCAAGAGAGGAGAAATGAGAGCTGTAGGTGGGATTGGAAATATTTTCAGTCACATTGCCTCCTGAGAAGCCCCTTCATCGATAGTCCCAGTGGTTACCAAATTTGACATTAAAAATTTTGCCATGCTGTAGACCACTGATCGTTCTTCTATTTACTTATTATCTTCCTTTAAAGTCAAGTCACTTAAAAAAAAAAGTTTGTTCATCCTAATCAATAATATTTGTGAAATGGGGGTCGTAGTAGAAATATCACAGTTTGGAAACAAGTGACCTCCAAGCAACATGTGGGGCCTTAGCAGCCTTTGGTTTCACGGTGAACCAGCTGATCTTCATAAATCTACTGGGAGGCTTCACCCTGGTGTTGTCAGATGACTATGACCTTGAAACATCTAAACACCCACCCGTTGGGTTCTGATGCCAGTTCAGAAAAGAGGTTCTTGCCAATACACACAAATCTACTGATGGTCCCAGCCACATGTGGTCTCTGTGCTCCTGGCACTATAGCAGTTTAACATGGTCTTTAGTGGGAAGGAAAGCCCCTCTTCTTGGCGCCATGTTCAGTTAGGAATGTCTCCATAGTAGACCAACGTGTGCCCTGAATAGATACAAAGTTGTTGCCTCCGTTGTATGTAGAAGAAACTGAGCCTCAGAGAATTAGGTCTGTTGCCAGAGGTCAACTGGTAAGTAAATGGTGACGCTAGTTATTTAGATAAGTGTCTGCCTTCCCTACTTGAAGGCCTGAAACGTTGTCTATGTCATCTTTCAATTCCCTTCTCTATAGAACCTAGTACGTGCCTTATACATAGCATATGGCAATATTGGCTGACATGGAGCAAATATGGTGTGACTCAGTCCCTCCTAGGCCTCTGAGGTACTAGTTATTCCATTCTAGTTGCCTATCAAAATCCCCACGTCCCTGCAAGATCAGAGATTAAAAGGGAAAGGGAGGAGACTCACCTCCTTGTATCAGAGGTCAGCACCACAGAATGACACGGGCAATCTCCGTCCCTGTATATTCCAAGCTGTCTGACTGTAGCTCCATCCTCAAATCCAGCAGTCTTCTGCAATTAGCCCAGTAGTTAAACTGATCACACAAGTTTTTAGAAAACGAAGCAGACCAATTTTAATTCAGACTTTTCAGACTGAGTGAAACACAAGATACTCCCTCCAAAAATGGCACACAGAAGGCTAGGCATTTTTTTGTTTGTTTGGTTGGTTCAGTGCTGAGCATTCAGATTTAGAGGGAGGAAAGATGTTTAAATTGTAAGGAAATTACACAGCAAAAGTATAAAAATTAATTCAGAGTGGGAGGAA